AAAAAAAAAAAAAAAGAAAAAGGAATGACATACTACAAACCACCTTGGCATACGGGAATAAGTGCCTGCAGTGTTAAATGTCAGAGTTTTTCATTTCACTTCTGATCATTTTGACAGCTAATCCCCTTAATGTGCTTATTTCCCAGTCCAGACTGTCTTGTCTTACTTTGCAGATGCCAAAATCCGCAACTGTTCATTAATGAATCACCCAACACAGCAACCCCTTAGCTGTAGCTGTGCAGTCGGGTCTAGTTGAATGTTATTATGTATAACTTGAAAATTATTAAATATTTCTAACAAAGCAACCTCAACGTGCAGGATTTTGTGCACAGGACTGCTCAAGCATCTCACTTTATTCTTGTGTTTCTTGAAACAATTCAATCTGGAGTCTGTTCTTAAAACACGGCCAGATAAATGACCATGAAGTCAGTTCGTGTCTACAGTGCAAATTTATAGCACATTATATATGATACACTCCACTTCAACTGCTCACATTCACAGTTTCACCTGCAAAGCAGCATATCTCAAAGGACCAAGCTGCCTGGTATCTATTTATACTGTAACAGAGGGGATAATCACCGCTTAGTAGCTGACAAGTTAATCCACACTCTGCATAGCCTGTGTGTAGGCACATACTTTGTGGTCCATCTATAAATGGACTGCCCAAAGCCATGCCAGATCTATACCTCAATATCTCTATTGATAAAGCTGAATCATCCTTGCAGACCCTTGTCAGCATGAGGTCAAACCTCGTTTTGTTAATGCACGGGCTAATATGTCACCGTGACGAAGAGCAGACAAAAAGAAGTTAGATTCTCTTCTCAGAACTACATTAAACAAGTAGAGCTGCCTCCACTTCCAGTAATATCTGACAAAATGTGACATGCAGTTTCTCTATTCTCAGCATGGAAATGTTGATGATTAAATTCTGTTTTCATGGGCATAAACTGGATAGCAATATTGATAGGTAGCAAAACGTTCAAGTGCCTGGGCCGAGCATGGGCTGAATCTACAAAGCAGGTGGGAGCAGATGAAGCAAAAGAAGATGCTGCTGTACATTGAAGGGGTGAAAGAAAGATAAAGAGTAAAGCTAACCCTTACTGTTATTGGTGCTGTTGCCATTAAAAGATCCAGCTGCGCTGCTATTGTCTTTCTCTTTGTCTTGATTCTCAAAGTCCATGTTAAGAGACCTGCAGAAACAAAAACCAAACTTAATAGGCAAGTTTCAACCCCCTGTTTCAATTTATCAGCTATGGTCTCATTGCCACCCTGCTAGAGCACCCTCTCCCTGAAAAGGCACTTTAATGGGGTTATGAGAACAAACCCCATACACTCAGAACATCACTATTATTATTGCAGTGTTTCTACAGGACACTGGAAACCAAAGCGTGTCTCCATTTAATTCTCTTTTTGATAAGATAATGTTATCTTGCTTCTCACAGAAGATAATACTGACATTTGGGCAAGAAAGATGACAGAGGGGCAGCACTGCTAGACACTCCCTTCTGTTATCTGGACTGCGTCATCTCTGGTACCCCATATATACATATAAACCCAACAACATATATAACGTGGCCCAAAACCTACCTATCTGAATGCAAAAGGGCAAGTAAAATGAGTGCAGAGAGCTCATGGGTGAGAGTAAAGGTACCACATCAGTTAAAAGAATAGATTTGCATGCACAAAACCCTATACAAGCAGTGATCTCAACAGCCCAGTATATCACCATATGTTGCATAGTACAAAAATGACATTTTTATTCCTGCACTTAAAAAGCCCCAAGCAATGCAGCATTCTCCCACTTTTGTCAGAGCCTGGTCCTTCTAAGCAATTTCTGAATTGCATCTTAACGAATTCTGGCTTCATGTCTCAAAATAGTGCAATTCTCTTCAAGATCTGTCTTGGACAGCAAATATTTCTATCATTAAATTCTAGGTAGTATATAAAAAATACTAGCAAGCAAGTATTTTTCTCAAATAAAAAAAAAGCTATTGCAAAACTTGCAAAAGTAACGGAAAATTATAAAATCTTATGCAGGGAAAGGGACAAACATACAAGCATACCTACAAGCATATATATACAACAAGCTAAATGTGCATGCATAGCATTGCCAGCCAAGAAAAACGTTACAGTAAGACAGACTCAGGAACTTTAACCAAGTTTCTTTCAGCTGGAAATAAATAAGCTATTTTTATTACCTCACATGCTGTTACTAGAATTAGTCACACATTTTATTGGAGTATTTGGAAGCATTTCCATATAACCAAACCTAAACTTCTTACACCTCCTCTGAAATGCGGTATTCAGCTCAAATGTAGCATGCACAGACCCCTGCTGAGACCAGCAAGGTGGAGTCACCACGGTTGTGCAGTGCTCTATAGGAACCGCACAAGAAAAGGTCTTATCCCACAGAATTTACAACCTAATTATCTGAACAAGGAAGGCAGAGGAGGGGGAGGTTTGGAAAGAAAAATCCAACCAATCTGTTTTGTTCTTTGGTATCATGAATTAGTCTAGTACTTTTTGGAGGCATCTAAAACTTCACACACTTAATGTGGGAAGGTCAGAGTCTGCAGCATGAGAAGATCAGTTTTCACCTGCAGATGGGGGATGAAGCTTGTACTTTAATCCTATGCTATCTAGAAGACACAGCCCTGATATTAAAGCAGGAAACCAACCAGCACATATGTGAAATGTATATAATATGGATTTTTATGCTTATCTAATTTATCTATCTTTAAAAACAGTGCAACTTCTGTAAATACCCGCAAAACAAAGCTGGCCTTCATTTCATTTGGGAAGCATGCATATGTTTCTGGCTTAACACCAGATACGTGCATTAAATCAGGCTTTACACAGGAGGAGGGTCATGTCTGGGTATGTGATAGAAGATTCAGCTGTTACCTGCCTGCAAAGTCATCTCACCAGGAACAAAATCACAGAATGGTTGAGGTTGGAAGGGACCTCTAGAGATCATCTAGTCCAACACCCTGCTCCAGCAGGGACACCCAGAGCATGGGGCACAGGGTGACATCCAGGTGGGTTTTGAAGACCTCCAGAGAAGGAGACTCCACAACCTCCCTGGACAGTCTGTTCCATGCTCTGGCACCCTCACAGTGAAGCAGTTCTTCCTTACATGGAGATGGAACTGCCTGCGTTTCAATTTATACCCATTTCCCCTTGTCCTGTCACTGGCCACCACTGAGAAGAGCTTGGCCCCTTCCTCCCTCCCTCCATTCCCCCTTCACGTCCTTGAACCCCACAGAGCATTCAAACCCACAGAGCAGTCTGGAGGAAAGAGCAGCAGGAGCTTGTGCAAGAGGGCACCTGGCCGGCCAGGAGCCATAGGAAACACAGCGCTTCCAGGCCAAGCTCATGCAGTTAAAAACCCACGACTAAAGAGCACATCTGCACACCCCAATTCATTGCTTTTAACTGGTCAAGAGAGTCCCAGCCATTTGGATACACTATAATACAGGTTTGAAAGTTGGAGGCCCAAGGAACAGTCTGAAAGGACATGGAAAGGCAGCGCGGAAGGGCCCAAAGCAGAAATTCCCAACAGCGCCCTAAAAGAAACGCCCCAATCCCAGCGAGAGAAGCAGGTCTCAGCTTTACAGGCCACGCGCTTCACTCTGGGGGGGAATTTACCCTACATGTGCTCCTCTATCCATTAGAGAGGGAGGAGGGCAGGGAATTCACTCCCTACAGCACGAGGGTTAACTACAGAGCCAGACACTCCATTTTTCTCTGGGCCTTTCAGCAAGTAAACCCCTCGAATTCCTCAAGTTCACAGAGCTCCTCTCTTATTGCAGGACAAATCTACTTCTTTTGTAAACCCCTTACAGCTACCTGTAAAGGTATCTGTTTCTACCTGTGATAATTATTAACATTTTTACACATTATCTGTCAGAAGGGCCCGTCACCCAGTAGTTTCAAGAAGATAGCGGGCTTGAGCTACCTTTAAACTTAAGTTGTTCAAGACAGGAGATAAGAATAAACCACCACATATGTCTACACAAAGGGCATTGCGATTTGAAAGATGAAAGACAGGGGAACGCGAGGAGACAGCAGAACAAAACCTGGTTTTACTGACCTCTCCACCCACACGTCAGCGTTCTCTCGTGTTCCCCATGCAAGGCAACAACATCATTTTCTAGAATATGCCCATGTTGCCCTTAATGTGGGTGGGGAGAAGGGGGCACAGCAGCATTTCAGGAGCTGAAGCTGCTGCTCAAATGTAGCTTGGAGCTGAGAGGTCAATCCAAAAGGATCTTTGTAGATTAGAAACCCACGCTGCAGCATTGGATGCCACTAAATCCCTCCACTGAGCACTGTTAGTCTGTTCCAAAAGCATGTAACTTGGAAAGCTATCCCGATTCTAGACGCCGAATCCTTACTTTTGATACCTTCTCCTTCAGGTATAAGTCCCCCCAAATTGCTAATAAGCAGTCCAACCATCACTTCTAACAGTTGGGTGGAATGATGTATGCTAAAACTAGGCACAGCTTTACTTTTGTGCTTAAAAATACGTTAGCAACCCATATATAGTCCTGCAAATATGAAATGAGATATATACAAGAGTTCAACTTACTAAAATGAAAAGCATCAGAATACAGATATTAAAAATACGTGAGTTCAGTTGTCTAATGTGTGCAGCTTTCTTCTTATTCCAAAACTTTTTATAATTTAATTGTATACCGTATTACTGAGGAAATGCAAACAGGCATTGAGACTTTGTAAGCAAAAACACTCTAAAATCCTATCAGCTCATACAAACGATGAGCTATCAGTTCTAATAATCCAGGCTATTGGTCACACAAGTTCAAAGCAGGAAGGTGGTTTGTCACTTTGAAGCACTATGTTAATCAGGCTTTTATTTTCCTTCCTGTTCCTCTTTCAGCAACTTAAAAATAATTTTACCACTTATACAATCCAATCTAGAACTTGCTTATAAATGCACATCCAGTAAAACATTTCTAAAATATTTCTTCACATAAATTATATATCCCTATCTCTCATTCGTAATGGAGAGCTCACTGCAATAGTTGGTTACAATACTACTACATGAAAATGTTTATTTTTTAAAAAGTGCACGTTAAAATGCATAAATAATAATAGGTATAAATATAATATTATTTAACCATAAAGGATAGTTTTCCAGCGGTTCCTTTCAGCACCTGCACAAATCCAAAGGCAGAGCGTCAGCTCGCAAAGGAGGCGTTGAAAGGGATCCGTGTTTGTAGCTGCTCAGCTTTATTCCTCCCAGATTTCCTACATGGGATTTGACTCATAACCCCTTCCAAGACCCAACCTGTTCATCCACATTGCTGCAAAAGATGAAAGATTGAGACTCACATCCCAGGAGGTTTTCTTCCTCCTGAGATTTTAATTGCTGGCGTATATTTAAGATATGGTTCGGGAATTGTTTCTTGGTAAGAAGAGAACTAAATGTCAGATCATTCAAATAAAAACCCACCTATTTCATTCATGCAGGATGAAAAGAAGCCTCGTGCTCCTTTACAACTAAACAGCTACATCTGAAGAACGTGTGGTCTGAGACTACAAATGCAGCAAACAACAAGAATATTTCTTGAAGCAGCAGAAACCCAAATTAAGCAGAAAAACATAAGCTGACAGCGAGTCAGGTGTGCTACCAAAACACGCCCCTCTACCCATCAAAAGGAAGTGATAAGAATATAGGGTGTCTTGGCTACAGTAAAGCAAATCCCATTGGAAAACGATATATTTTTATCATACTATCCACTAAAACTCCAGCAACTGCCCTAATCCTGACTCAGGCAGGAGCCCCAACCCAGCCGAGCGCCCGCCTTTCCGCACACATCCGTGCGGTGACTCGGTGGCTTCCACCCGCGCCGGACAAGCAGCACAGGGCACCTTTCCAAACAAGGCCAATAAACCTATGGAGCAGTGATAAAGGATATTTTCTCGTCGCAAAGATTAGCTGCACACAAGCAACGTCCTGTTTGGAGGGGAGAACATGGCACTGTCTTTACTGAATCATGATCCTGGTTCTAAAGGTCTTCGGGGCCGTGTTACGTGTCCTTTGGCAACTCTGCAACTGCTGATGTCCTATCATATGTGTCACTGCACGTATCAGAATATATATTTTAAGTGTTAGTAAGCTTACTGACTTACTATTTACTGCCGCTAAAGGCAACAAGAACTTGAGCAAGACTCCTTAAGTTTACAAAACAGTGACGAATCTAAGCTGAACTTAAGGGCTGAGTCAACCCAGCTTCTTTCCAGTGCTATTCTACATGGAAAATTTATATAGAACTACTAACCTGCTTTTAAGATCATACAGGTTCCAGCAGATTGATACATAAAATCAAAACTACCAATTATAAGCTCTTCATTAATTTTCTAAAGGAGTTACAATTGGGAGACTGAGATTCCCAGAAATAATTTGGCCTTGATTTACCCCAGGGCTCTGTTGCTTAATGCAGCATGAGACCAAGCACTGGATCTAGATGAAGACATCAGCGTTTTCATTTAAGAATGAGTTATTTTCGGTAGTATCTTTACCCCTTCCAGAAAGTTGCTGTTACACCTATTTTGCCAGTAGTTTTTATTTTACTACTTTAGGGGTTTCCAGATGAATATCATCTTGTAACTCACCACCAGATTTGAATTCCTTAAATAACTTATATCTTAAATAAGTTATATCTTAGAACCTTTTGTTATCTCTATTCCACAACTTTCTGTAAAAAACATTTTTAACCTTTTCTGTTTCCCCCTTCTCTATTAAGCTCTTCTTCATCCTGCAGTAACAGACCACAAATACTTGGATATCTGTATTTTACAAGAGTTGGCTGCAAACGAAAAAAAGAGCACACAGACAACACAGAAATATCACATATAAAATACTATTATTTTAAATATTAAGTTCATCTCTTTCTCAATCATTTTTATACTCTCCAAAGCACAATTTTAAAGGACTGCCTTCAAGGACTAACTTCAAAGTTATCTTGCATATCCTTGTAACTCAATTAGTCATACAATTATGTCTTTCCCAAAGCCAGCTACTTTTTCTTCTGTTTCCATTTCCTTCTAAGAACCAAGAACTATTTCATTTGCATTAGCCACTAATTGGACCAAGACACAATAAAACAAAAGGCATAAACTACATTCAGTCCCTTACTGAGATATTTTTATTTAAAAAAGAAAAAAAATATACAAAAGCTTAAAGAAAAATCTTACCTGAAACTGCCGTAGACTATGAGCAGAATAGAAATCAGGAACGTAGACACTTGACTGGAATCCACAAGGGAATATGCCCTAGAATTGGGAAAAGAAAGGCACTTGTGTTATTATGAATATTCACTTCCCCGGTGTCATTTGCTAATTCTTTTCCTTATCATAATGCCAAGAGAGAATTTCTTTAGAGCAGCAATTGTTAAAAATCTCATGCCATCTAGGAAAATTATATCCACAGCTTCTAAATTAACCTTTTATGCTCAAGACCACAGTATGCAGAACATTCAAAGCACTGTTCAGAAAGGCTTGCAGCAACTGCCTCTAAACTCGTCGCGTTCGGATTCCTCTCACCAAACATATTACACGTGTTTCAGTTGTAACTAACACAACCGAAGCCCTTGGCACATAAATAACAAGAACTGGTTATCTTCAAGGTTTTTTATATGGCTAAACTGATGGTAATAAGTTGCATTTATTATAACCTACTGAATTATTTCCCTATGCCATGCAATCCTGCAGCAGCAGGAGCTGAGGATACTCAGGGCTCCCCAGCAAAATATGCAGTGACCAAGACAAGGGAAACAGTTGCTCCCTCTCCCTGGAGCTGGAATGGGAACGTCGGGTCCAGATTAGGGGCTCCCAGTAACAAAAAAATTCCGACAAACTGGAATAAGCCACGGGAAGGGCTGCCGAGGGGGCTGGGGCAAGAGGTGACCGGGAGCTGATGCCGTCACAGCGCAATTCCCTGTGGATCCAGGGCCAAGAGCATCCCTCTTAGGCGACCAACCACCAAAAATCCCAGCTTCGAGAGCAGTATGGGACCCACATAAATGAACCGGGCAGTAATTCCAAGATACAGACCACTAAGCAAAGGCGGATTAGAGCTATCAAACAGCTAAAGAATCACTCAGCCCACTGCCAATTTAAAAGCAATTCAGAGGTAATTACCGTAAGACTAGGCAGACACTTGAAAATAAACACATTTGTAATATGTAAACACAAATGCGGACTTCCCAATATAGAAATCTAACGTTAAGCAAAAAATAGAGTGCTTCTTTCTGATGAAATTAGATGCTCATGGAATAAGCTTTTAAGGAAGGAGCAACTAATGATTTTCATTAATTACCATGAATAATTTCAATATTAGCCCATGCAAAAAGCGAAAAGCGAGTGCACTCTTTGCCCACGAAACTGGACATTTTTCTTCATTTCAGTCATGCCTGACCTTCGCTTCCAAGGTTGTGCCAAACAGCTCTTAAAATAATCCATGAAGATCAATATCCCAAGCTGCAAAGACGCTTAAGATGCAAGCGGGCACTTATAGTAAGCACATATAACTGCTCTGCAGGTGCTACACAGTTAATTGAGTGTTAATGTAGCCACTGACTACAAATAAGCAGAGAGGGGGAAGAAGGAAGGGCTTCCAGGTGATGATCCAGGTTGATGTCCCCTTAGGAGCTCGGTACAGGGAGCAGCTCTCCCCTCATCCAACTTAAAAGGAAAAGGAAACTTCACATCCTGTTTGGATTGGAGAACGAACGGCGGAATTTATCTATTAAAAGAATCTTCTGGAGCTCCAGATTTGTGAGGCAAAAACGAGAGGACTGAAGGGAATCTTGCCTGGGCTTAAGCATGTCCAGAGCTGGGCGTTAAACTTTATTAACTGATGCTCGTAAAATTATATATTCATGAATCCACAAATATTTTTGAGATGAGCAGTATTTTGTGGCAGATTCATCACTCAGCAGCAACTCTGAAAGCTGTAATAATTAAAATGCCATTTGCCTGCAATTACTAAACATTAGTACTTACTATCCAAGTAAGGCTGTAAACGTTAGAAAGATTTATCGAGCGGATAAAACAAGGCGCATGGATCAATCCTGTGCATAATCCATTAAGGCCGGTATTAAAAATTGAAGGCCCTTGGGAGGAATGGAAGAAACTAAGTGAAATTATTCTAAATAATAACCTGAAATGCCATAAATCCATGGATGTGGATGACTAGGACAGCTCTCTGCAAAGTCTAAGCAAGGGAGGAACCACGAGCAAAGCGCTTCCAGGCTGCACAAAGAGATGGCACTGGTTGAACCGGGCGCGCGCCACAGACCCAGCAGAGCTCCCCGGCTCCTCTGCTTCGACATCGGTCAGCGGGAGCTCCAAATAACTCCAAAAACGACATTTTTGGTGGTTCAGGTCGACCCCATGGTGGCCGGGAGCAATCCTCAGCGCTGCCTGCGTGGCAACCCGCAAAGAAAAGAGGTTTCTGCTGCTTACTCTGAAAATATTCCCAAATACCGGCTCAGGTTGGGCTGAGGACTGCTGTCTCCCAGAGGCTTCATCGCAGCTTCGTGGTTCGGCCGTGTGCTGTATGACAACCACCACCAGCCCATTTTTAAACTCCACTATGAGCAGGGCTTTGCTCATAGGGCTTTGCACGCAAAGGCCAGCGCCGCCGTTCCCGAGGAAAGGATCAAGCAGGAATCTCGCGCCACCACCCCTCGCATTCAACACCCAGGCAAGGAAGCTGCTTGGGCCGTTATTTATTCAGGCTATCGGAGCGACTCTTGCTGACTCAGGCGAGTAACTAATGGCCAGAGCTACCCGCTGCACCCCAGCGCTCCATAAATCCTGCTGCCCACATGGTTGGTGTTCCCAGCCAACGGGCAGGGAGATAAGGGCTCCAAGACCTCCCCTAGGCGCCGGGTTCACACTCGAGACCTGCAGCTTTCCAAGGCCAGGATCGATTTTAATAAATCCCCGGCTCGCGGGCGGTTCTTCTGGGCGGCTTCCCGGCTGGGACACATAGGGCATCCAGCCGTGTGGCTCCATAGGGAGGGAATTGTGCTCCGGCCTGGCACGGGCTTCCCCCACGGAGCCAGCCCAGGGATGCCCCGGCGGGCACGGGCAACGCGCGGCCTATTCCGGGAGGGAAACAAAAGCGAATAACGGCTGCATTCCCAAGGGAACAGAGCACGGCTGTATTCCCCAGGGAATAGAGACCTCCATTCATTCCCGGCCGGGAAAGATGTTCACAGGGTAATGAAAGCTGTGGCGTTAGATCAGGACAGCTGCCATAGGGCCAAGCTCACCTTCCTTCCCTGGAAACATCCACCCCATACCCAGGGCTTTGAGCCATTTCTCACCTAAAAGACATTTTCCCCCTGCCATTCTTATAATCTGCATTTTAATTCCCCTGCTCTCGTTATTTCTTTTATATTTCTGCCCAGGGAAACTCCGCAGTAAATGCACACACCTTTTTTTCTTTCCCTTTTTCCTTTCCCAGCTCTTCTTTATCACCAAAGATGCACGGTTTGCAACAGGGAGCCCTCCCAAAGCAGGAATCCCAAAGTGCATGGGAACAGCCTCCTCCTTTTGCCGGTTCTGGTGGCTTGTGTACCCCCCCCCCAAAAATCCTTTTGTCTTAAAAAATTGGGAAAATTTGGTGCAACTAAAAGAAATCCCTTTTGTTTGCACAGTCTATGAAATGAAGATGTAATAAACCCGATCCCTCCATGTTTCGGTAGCAAATGCCACTTCCCTCACTTGCAGGTGCCACAGAAATGCAACTGCAGTTCACGTGGAGAGAGAAGTCTGCACGTCACTGTGTTCATCAAGGACCCAACTACTCAAAGGCTTTCAAGATTAAGAGGAAAAGAGAAAAAAAAAATAATAAAGGAAGGCAAAGACACTCCATAGGCTGCTGTAAGGATGCGCTAGAACACAGCAGAGAGGCTTTTTAATTTGCTTAAAGGTGCCAGATCTGTAACCCACAGACACCTATTGAGGAATGAGGGAACACCGCACTGATAGGAACGTCAGCAGATGGTTTAATTCGGTGTCTTTCCCCACGTTAAGACTAAATAACAACTCGATCAGTCCCAGTCAACATTTACACTCCCCAGCTGTTAAAAGTCACCAGTGAAAACTGCAGGACTTCTCTTGACCGCCAGTCCCGGCCCTTCCAATTGCGGTTTCAGCCCATACATTTTCCATGTTCACCAAGTCCTTTAAAACCGGTAGGGACAACCCCGCTCCCCTTCCTGCCAGGATAAACAGGATCCAGGCTTGGATCCACCTGCACGCTGCAGTTTCGGAAAGACGGGAGTGCTTGAGGAGCAATCCCGAGGGCTCTTCAGCCACATGAAAAGCTGTGAGTTCCCACTCGATCAATAGGGCACTCTTCATCTCACGCTTAAAATATCCCAATTATTTTTCATGGCTGCTGTCTCAGGACTGTAGGAGACACTAACCCGTGTTACCTGCCCGGACACGTAAGCTGCTTTCACAACCTCCCTTCTCTTCCAGAGCAGCCTCCTACCTGCGCAGCAGCACCAGGGCTACAACGATGCAGCTTCCTCCTTGCCCTGTTATTCACGGGTCATTTTTAGAAGTTAATAAATGCACTCAGCTTGCGCCCCTGTCGCTTAGTTCAAAGGGATCCAAAAGAAAAAACAAAGGGAAACAAAACAATAAAAACTTTGGCTGGAAATTTGGTGTCAGCTATGGAGAAGCTTCTCCCCACCCCTTCCCTCCAAGGGCTTCATATATTTCCCAAGCTCTTTAATGCGCTTATTACATCAGCCATTGCTGTTGTAACAGAGCAAACGCGAACCGAAAATCAAGAAATTCTCGTTGGTGAATCCCAGACAAGGAGAAGATGAATATTTGGCAATACTGGCCCTATGCACCCTTATTTGGGGCCATACAAAAGAGCATATCCTTACCTAGGAGGTTTTTCTGGAATATATTGGTCTGCCTGCCATTTCTTCAAGCATCCTATTAACTATTTTATTCCTTAAAGAAGGCAGAGGGAACGCACAGATCAGACCGGTTTATTGCCCTGGGTAACTTGCTGTTGGTGTTTTGGTGCAAGGCAACCTGGAGCTGTAACCTCGTTTATTAAGAGGGGCAAATCAAACCCAAGGGTTCCGGAGGGCAGCGCCGGGGCACGCAAGGAGGGCACCACTGCGTCCGCCAAGATCAATCACCACTAATTGTGCAGATATTCATTTTGCTGGGGGGATGGACTCATTTCACAAGCAAAGCTAATAGTAATTTTTTCCTTAACTGGATTCCAGGTCAAGGGTAAAACCAAAAAGCCTCTCTTTTAACTGCTTTAGGTGTGCAAGACATGTATATATTTAAGAGCCACCATTAGGCTTGCTGCCAAGCCAAAGTTACCCTTTACACTCCATTTTCATGTTAAAGGGACAAGCATGAAGTCATGGCACCGAAACAGTAAACACACCTCTACATTAATCCATTCTTTGCTGTGATTCATAGGAAAAACAAGCAAATTCCTATGGATTCATTTACATTCAGGAATAGTCTCACCTAATTGTCATCTGCAGATTAGATCTGTTAAGTCTGAGTAGTTTATGGAAACGTGGGTCATCTAGGGAAAAAGAAGCCATGAATTGCCACATACACACACAGAATAATCAAGGTTTGGATCCAGGCATGCACTTCGAAGTGAGAAGGAGAATAATATAATAATAATTAAAAAAAAATAAGAGAATAATTCCTCTCTCCATCAGACATAGATCTCAGGACAACATTTTCATATTATTAGATACCAAAAACTAAACTAAACCAGAAATAACTGACACATCTGTTTTAAGAACCTCATTCCTTCTTCTATTCCTTCTCAGAGGGCTGTTTTCCTTAAACTCTCTTCCCAAATAACTGCCAAGCTCCCAGCTAAACTGCTGAGTGCAACCGCTCCAACAGGTTCCCGTTGGGAAGGGCCAAAGGACATGGTCACCAAGACACCAGGAGAGACACCCAGGCAAACCCCATTGGCTGTTAAAGCCATTACCTGAACCACCCTGCTGGCTCTCCAGACTGTTTGCCAAGAAAAAAGGCAATTTGGTGTTTTACAACACTCAAGAATTATGGGAGCTGGAGGGTTTCCAGGCTGCACATTCGCCAGGAACTTTCCCAAGCAGGAGCCGAAGGGAAGGAATGCACTTCTTCCAAAGGACACAGGGCAGAAGTGCTCCTCCAGTCCAGTGGGACCAGACTGGAGTTAAACAGGATATTGGGCAGAACAATGTGCAATCAACAGCTAATATTTAAAAAAATAAAATGCATATTTGAATATATTGTCCTGGACACATGTATTTGCTTGAGAAGGATGCACCCAGCACCAAAACTAACATCCAAAAAACATGCTGAGTGTCCTTCGTATTATTGCAAGAGGAAATACAACCCTTATTTCACACACTACATTTATGGACTGAATGGTAAGCTGAACACCTAATAGTCACCTCTTACATATACACAAAAATAAACTGATGTTTTCAGGTTTGTTGTTTTATTGGGAAGGGCTGGTTGTTTGGTTTGGTTTGGGCTGTATATACCTTGACCTTTAAAAAAAACAATTACTTTTGCACCTTCTTGACAGTTTAATCTAGAGGAACCCAACTTCAGATATGATTTGTCTATGTTGGTTTGAGTATCAAGGGTCAGGAGCACGAGAGAGCCCTACAGGCCTCTGCCTATATATAGGGCTATGAAATATCTCGCTCAAACATTTGCCCTTACAACGGGTGGGGCTGCTGCTGACAACCCTTAGTTTATTCCGGGGAAAGGAAAAGAGGTGGGAAAGTCACCTGGGCAAACTTGACCTGGGGACCCAGTGGTTTTGTGGCAACGTCTTCACGCAGCTCAGGGTGGAAGGAGGCAGGAGGCAGCGAGGGGCCTGTGCCGAGTGTGACCGAAACACTCCACAGAATCAGAGGATGGTTGAGGTTGGAAGGGACCTCTAGAGATCATCTAGTCCAGCCCCCTGCTCCAGCAGGGACACCCAGAGCACAGGGTGGCATCCAGGTGGGTTTTGAAGACCTCCAGAGAAGGAGACTCCACAGCCTCCCTGGGCAGCCTGTGCCAGGGCTCTGGCACCCTCACAGTCAAGAAGTTCCTCCTCACATGGGGATGGAACTGCCTGGGTTTCAATTTACACCCATTAGCCCTTGTCCTGTCACTGGCCACCACTGAGAAGAGATTGGCCCTTTCATCCCTCCATTCTCCCTTCATGCACTTATACATACTGATCACATCCCCTCTCAGCCTTCTCTTCTCCAGAGCAAACAGGCCCAACTCACTCAGTCTCTCCTCGTACGAGACATGCTCCAGTCCCTTAATCATCTTGGTTGCCCTCCGCTGGACCCTCTCTAGAAGCTCCAGGGTACCTTCTCCTCCAACGCAAACCTGACTGGAGCTAAATTACACAAAATGAAACTTGCTATTTCCCCTGGACTACACTAAGTTAGCACTGGTTTAACCATGTTAGTTTTCACAACAGGTGCGTGAGTCCCCGCAAGCTGTGATATTTTGT